TTGCAGTTTCCATTCACGTTGCACATTCAGTGAATTAAACTGATTTGCATGACCTGATATTCAAGGCGAACGGGTTGACTGCAAGTGAAGTCAAAGTCGGCCGCCAGTGTAAGGTAAATAGAGACTATCTGAGTGATGAACCACCGTTTACCTGAGAAAATTTATACTAAATAAGTTGGTTTGTTTACATTCGTAGCTTATGTTTACATCTTGCCCGTTCCCATGCTTTGGGTAGACATACGCATTGATTATTGCAGTTGACCTCAGGTACAATTTTGACTACAAACATCGTGGAACCAATATCCGAGTGCCCCTTTTCATCAGAGAGAGAAACAACGGTAGTTCTGGCCATTTCCGTAGTAGTGTTTGGAAATTCGACCGAAATTCTTCCGAAATTCCCCGAGACAAACGTCATTAGGCTTATGGACAAAACGTTAATGCAGATGACGTCACGCATCTCGCTGTTGTTGTAAGTAGCTTTCCGTAGTTTCGTCATCATTTCCCTGACCTTCACAAAAGGACGTGTTTGTATAGACTTCGTCATATTCGTAAACCGTTTAAATTTTCCAGAACGTATAGAGTAAGTGATTCATTCCATACTTACTGGGTGGCTGCGGATGTGCGTGATTCGGTGGGGTTTGTCAGTCTAAAAGGGTCCTCGGGATCAGGCGTGTGGTCCGCTCCTATACATCGTCGAGATAAGTGTCGATACTCTATCAAAGCGGAACAGTTTGATTCTTCTAAACACCCGTCATTGGGAGTCAGGCAACAGAACCGACAGGTTAGCGTTCTCAGCGTGTGTTGTGGCCAGAGAACGTGATGTAACATATATGTTTTGAAGTGAACGGTGAACTCTGTGATTTCGACTTTCCGTTTTTGGCATGGATAGGTTACCACCACTGTTTGCTATCAACGTGTGAAGTATGTATATATACTCCCATCTCCCTCCCTCCCTCCTCTCTTCTCCTTGTCATCTTCTCTTTCACTCACCCTCTTTTCCTCCCTCCTCTCTTCTCCTTGCCATCTTCTCTTTCACTCACCCTCTTTTAACTCATATATGTTACAAAATTCTCTCTCTCTCTTCTCTCTCTCTCTCTCTCTCTCTCTCTCTCTCTCTCTCTTCTCTCTCTCTCTTCTCTCTTCTCTCTCTCTCTCTCTCTCTCTCTCTCTCTCTCTCTCTCTCATCTATCCCTCCCCTTCTCTCCTCTCTCTCTCCCTCCCCTTCTCTCTCCCCTCTTCTCTTCCTCTCCTTCCCTCTCCTCCCCCTCCCCTTCCCTCCCCTCTCCCTTCTCCCTCCCCCCCTCTCCCTCTCCCCCATACATACGTAAGCGTGCGTTTGTTTTGCATGTTCGCGCGCCCATGCACCTTCCCTGGTCGTTCACCATTCGTTCCCATTCATCGTCCTCGTATGTCTGATTCGGCATCTCATCCTGGTTAATACACGCTCCCCTTGTGCAGCCCGCGCCCCTCCCCCCCCCCCCTCCCCCTCCTTCCCTTCGCGACGAGTGCTTATGACTGCTCGTCTTGGCCTTCCATATATGCGAACTCTGAGAGCCAATTTATCAGCTGATGAGTTGATGACGCCATGTTGAGGGGAAGGCGAGAGGAGGTGTGCTTCAGTTGTGGGTTGACCAGTTAAGGATTTCATTGGCCTTTTCATTTTTTTCAGTCTCTCCCGTTCCTCTATTTTTTCTTTTTTCTTTCTTCTCCTTTTTTTCTTCGCTCTTATTCTCTTTTCTCTTCTCTTTATCTCTCTCTCCCTCTCTTTCTTTCTCTCTTATTCTCTCTCTTAATTCTTTCTCTCTTTTCCTCTTCCTTCTTTCTTTCTCTCTCTATCCCTCTCCCTCCTTTCTCCCTCTCCCTCTCCCTGTCCTCCCTCTCTCCCTCCCTCCCTCTCCCTCTCTCTTCCCTCTCCCTCCCCCTCCTCCCCCCTCCCTCCCTCCCTCCTTCCCTCCTCTTTGTCTCCTCAACTCTTCCTCTTCCTTCTGTTTATCTTTCTGAGGAAGGAGTAGCACGGCGTGGCCTTGGAGGAAAGATAAAAATAACAGGCCGGTTACAGGTGAGACAGCATAGTATCCCGTGTTATCACCTGTGCGCACCTGTGAAGCCTCAAGCCCCGAAGGTCGGAAACGTCTGAACGCGAAGTCATTACAATTCCACGCCATGTCACACGTCCCGGGTTGCTTGATGGTGCAGGTGTGTGACATCGCTTGCGGGTTTAGTTCGTAAATAATCCGGAGCGACACGATGTGTTTACGTTCGGAGGTGAGGTTAAGTTATACGCTCGTATCAGTGTTAACGCATTTATGGTGTTGATTTTTATGAGAATGTTTAGCGTGCTTCATCAAAGGCGAAACATAGGAATGGTGGTCATAGTTTTCATTGTAAAGTAAGTAGTGTATGTTAAAGTGTCCAGTATTTTATGTACAATACAGATCGCGTGGACTTTTTAATTTAATAAATATGTTGAATAGGTTTATGCGCTTTAGTCATTGCCCCATTACAACAAAAACATTAAATTTCTGTATTCGTCGGCCATTCGCACATAAGCTCCATTTCGAGTGAAATTCTATAATTCTGTATGCATGTAGATTGAATTAGACTGAATTAAATCGATAACTATAAGTGAATTAATTCGATAACCCGCAATCACTGATCTTTCGGCCTAGGTTACCAATGCAGTGTCAAATGTCCAGATACACTCTCTCTCTCTCTCTCTCTCTCTCTCTCTCTCTCTCTCTCTCTCTCTCTCTCTCTCTCTCTCTCTCTCTCTCTCTCTCTCTCTCTCTCTCTCTCTCTCTCTCTCTCTCTCTCTCTCTCTCTCTCTCTCTCTCTCTCTCTCTCTTTCTCTCTCTCTCTCTCTCTCTCTCTCTCTCTCTCTCTCTCTCTCTCTCTCTCTCTCTCTCTCTCTCTCTCTCTCTCTCTCTCTCTCTCTCTCTCTCTTCTCTCTCTCTCTTTCTCTCTTTCTCTCTTTCTCTCTTTCTCTCTCTCTCTCTCTCTCTCTCTCTCTCTCTCTCTCTCTCTCTCTCTCTCTCTCTCTCTCTCTCTCTCTCTCTCTCTCTCTCTCTCCTTCCTTCCCCCTCCCCTCTCTTGAAGATAGCCTGCACTTCATCCACCCCTTCTTGGGCCTCACATCCGCCGAACGTTTCTCCCGATAAAGCTGCGCGTGGCGAGTGCTCTCTGGCCATTGTTTCTGGACAAGTATCAGACAGTGGCGTTCGAGAGGCGTCACTGCCCTCTTCTTTTTCTCTTTCTGAGAGCTAACTGCGCCCTTTTCTCTTTTCTCGAGAGGCATAGCTGCACCCTCTTCTCTTTGCTCTTTCTGAGAGGCATAGCTGCGCCCTCTTCCTTTCTCTTTCTAGAGGCATAACTGCACCCCTCTTCTCTTTTCTCTTTCTGAGAGGCATAACTGCACCCTCTTCTCTTTTCTCTTTCTACTGCACCTTCCTCTTTTCTCTTTCTGAGAGGCATAACTGCACCCTCTTCTCTTTTCTCTTTCTGAGAGGCATAACTGCACCCTCTTCTCTTTTCTCTTTCCGAGAGGCATAACTGCACCCTCTTCTCTTTCTCTTTCTGAGAGGCATAACTGCACCCTCTTCTCTTTTCTCTTTCCGAGAGGCATAACTGCAACCTCTTCTCTTTTCTCTTTCTGAGAGGCATAACTGCACCCTCTTTCTTTTGCTCTTTCTGAGAGGCATAACTGCACCCTCTCCTCTTTGCTCTTTCTGAGAGGCATAACTGCGCCCTATTCTATTTTCTCTTTCTGAGAGGCATAGCTGCACCCTCTTCTCTTTTCTCTTTCTGTCATAACTGCGGTAGGAAATATGGGAAGACATTGGATTACTTCGGCGGCAAATTATAGGCCTACATTTCTCAAGTATTAAAAATGGGGCCTGCATTCCCATTGAACTTTCTGTCCACAAAGAAGCCCGCATCCTTAAAAAAAAATGGGGCCTGCAATCCCATGGCTCTTTCTGTTCACAAAGAGGCCCGCATCCTCTCCCAATAAAAATCATTAGTCACGCCCCTGAATTCAAAGTGGCTTTTATGAGATAAACGTTGTCTTTCATGGCTTGGGGGAAACCGTGATTTCATGGAGTGAGGGGAGGCGAAGATAAATTTTTTGATTGATACATAAAATTTTCCTTCCATAAGACAGGGATTAAAAGTAACGCAAGTTTGTTATGTATTAATTTAGCGATTATTTCAGGGCTCGTTCTCTGCATGTCGTCGAAGACCTGCCTGTCCAACAGTGCAGATACATTTCGAGTATCAGTTGGTAAAACCGAAATAACGTCTCGCCACTTTGAAATTAAACGCAGCTGGGGGGGGGGGGGGGTTACTCTTCTGTTTATGCGTCAGTATCTTCCAAGGACAGGAAAAAAAATACCCGCTGTATCTTGGTTAAGTCTGTCAGTCACTATAAATGTTACGGCTTCATGTCATCCTTTTGAAGATCCGTTATGGTTACCATGCCTTGAAAAAAAATGCAATTTGACGACCACTCCCTTTAAATGCATTTCTTGACGATTTTTTTTAGTTAAATTGGAATTTAATGTCATGCCAGTCATTTAGCAACCTTTGACAACGTGTAAGCTCAGGATCGGATTATATAAAGTGCGGTAACGAATGGTAAGGTTGGCTGTACGATATGTGTGCCTATGGTTAATTAACAAACTAATCTGATAAGGTAGGAGAGATTCTGTCGTACCGCAATTAGAACTTTCAGTCAGTATGAGATTTATCAGGTGTGTACATATCTCGCGTGTGTTTTACGTAAACCTAAAGTAAGTGATGAAGTGTCGAGTTGATGATCAATACTCGTGGTTCGTGAAGCAAGCGTTCGTCTGCGCCATGTATGCATGCAGGTGGAGCCCGCCCGTTTGTTACCCAACTGTCAGAAATTGTGCATCCGTTTTAAGTTTATTATTATTATTATTATTATTTAAAATCTGGAGGTTTTATGGGTGTAAGTTGTCTTGCGTATTACTGCGTTATGTAGTGTAATTATCTTATCGAGTCTTGGCACTGAATCTTTAAGTTTATAGAAGTTTTAGGGAATATAGCTCGTTTAATATTAATAACTAACCATAGTCATCTTGGAAAATGAGAGACTAATCGGATATTTGGACCTAGCAGCTGCTTCTTGTAGAAATGGAGTTTGGAACCTGCGCCAGTTCAGCGTAAAAGTACTGAATTTTAGAGGGAATGACCATAAAAGCAACTGCAAACCATGCAGATGTACTTATGCTGTAATTTCCTAAAAACGTTTGTTTTGCTGAGTAACAAGACGAGAAATCCGGATAATATCTTTATTTTTAGTATACAAGACTATGGTAGAAATCGCGTGGATAATTTTATCTTTCTATCATTAGTTGTTACTGGTGGTGTTTTTATTTTTTTTGTGGCTTTTTTTTAGGTAGCTAGTTGGGTTTCTTTTTTTGATAGTAGTTTCGTTTTGTGAGTCTATGTAATTATTTTTTAAGCTGTTAAATTTCTTAGGTAGTCTAGTTTCATTGTTCTTTTAGTAAACAGGTGGGTGGTCGGGGATCTATTTTGAGTGAGTATAGGTTGAGTTTTTTTATTGTTACAATAGTAAGCTGTTGATTTTTTAGTTTATTTTAATTAATTTAGTTCAAGGACTAGTGGGTGGTTGTAGTGCATAGTACGCTTTTGTAGCAGTTTTGCTCGGCCAGTTTGCAAGACGGTTTTCTGTTGCCTCCACGTGCGATCGGGAACCGCCGTGATCCTATGATATCCTCGTCTTGGTCGAGCCATTGCCAGTGGCGAGATGGTGTTGACCTGCCGCAGACACAGAGCTCTGATGGCTTCCTTTTGGTAGTCTGTTATCTGATAGTGTTTCTGAATAATTTTCTTTTCTTTCATTCCTTTCTTTATTTGTTTTTGCTTTTTTTGCTCTTTTTTGTGTTCCGAAGTATGTTTTAGTTTTCTTTTTTTTTTCTGTGATTGTAAAAGTCGCTAGCACTCAGTACCTGTACCTTGGTTGGTCCCTGTCGGTTTTAGAAGGTGTATGATTCTTAATATATTGTTTAAATTTTCGTGATTGATAGGCATTTACTTTTATCGTCCGCAAAATAGGTTAACTTGTTGAGAAGAAACGTGCGTTGCTGAAGCCATAGACGTCACACCCTTTTTTCAAAGTTTGGTCAATGTTGCGGTTGATCCTGGAGTTATTTACATCAATTGTGTGACACTTCCTGCACTGATAATAGACACTTGATAATTTGTTATATTTTTGAAATTGGTTTTGCCTCCTCTTCTAAGATAAGGTACTCGGTGGCATGTCTTCTGATATATACGTTTCATATTTTTTTTTTTAGCATGTTTGTAATCCGGAACTTCATGATGTGATATTATATAATGATGAATGTAGTGTTGTTTTTTTGTTCCGATTTTGTTTGTTTGTCTAGCATATATTTGATTTGTGGAAGCTTTGTTGTATTTTCCTACGAAGTTAGAGGATCCATCAAATTTGTTTATGGGTGAAGATTCGTTTCTTTCTCTTTCTTGCTCTCCTCGCTTTCCTCTTCTTCTTTCTCTCTCCTCTCCCTCTCTCCCCCCCCTCTCTCTCTCTCCCTCCTCTCTCCCCCCCCCGCACCCCCCCTCTCTCTCCCTCATCTCTCTCTCATCTTGCTTCTTTCTCTCTCTCTGCTCTCTCCTCTACTCTCTCTCTCTCTCTCTCTCTTCTCTCCTCTCTCCTCTCTCTCTCTCTCTCTCTCTCTCTTCTTTTCTTTCTTTTCTCTCTCTTCTCTTTCCTCCTCTCTCTTTCCTTATTCCTTTCTCTTGACTCTTCTCTTTCTTTCCACCTCCTTATTCTTCTCTTCCTGGATTCTTGCCTTCTCCTCTTCTTCTTTCTCAGATCTCTCTCTTCTTTGTTCTCTCCTCTCTCTGTCAATCATATAAATGCTCTTTCTTTTCTCTCCTCTCTCCCTTCTCTCTCTCTTCCTTCTCTCTGCTCGTTCTCGCTCTGCTCTCTCTCTCTCTCTCTCTCTCTCTCTCTCTCTCTCTCTCTCTCTCTTCTCTCTTCTCTCTCTCTCTCTCTCTCTCTTTCTCTCTCTCTTTCCTCTCTCTCTCTTTCCTCTCCTCTCTCTCTCTCTCTCTCCTCCCTCTCTCTTTCCCTCCTCCCTCTCTCCTCTCCTTTTCTCTCTCCTCCTTTCCCTCCTTCTCTCTCTCTTTCCCCTCTCTCTCTCTCTCTTCCCCCTCCCCCCCCCCTCCTCTCTCTCTCTCTCTCTCTCTCTCTCTCTCTCTCTCTCTCTCTCTCTCTCTCTCTCTCTCTCTCTCTCTCTCCTCTCTCTCTCTCTCTCTCTCTCTCTCTCTCTCTCTCTCCTCTCTCTCGAGGGGCTTAAAAGGCCGTTTACGTGTTTGTCAGATTTTAGGGATGCTAAGATTATTATATACTTACTTTTTTTTACATTGGTCAAATGTTGGGATATCTGTGTGCGATCTGCGCCCGAGCTTATCTGCAATGTTATCAGTGATGAGGTGCGACTTTCCTGGCCAAGCAGTTGCTTCCCTTTCACAAACGAATTGTTTACATAGTTGGCAGGTGTCAGCGACAGTCTCTTCATGTCAGTGATTATGTTGAAACGTTAGGTTTATCAGGTATGATTGATGGGCCAGCCGAGTCTTTATCTGTGTCGTTATCTGTATGCATCTTTCTATCTCTTCTTGTCACCCCTCTCTCTCTATTTATCTAGCTCTATCTCTCTCAGTTCAATTGTTCTTTAATTGTTTTATTCTATATTTTTGTTCGCCCCCCTTCCTTTCCCTTTTCCATACCTCTTTCAACTCCCCTTCTGTTCTCTTCACTTTCCAGTTCCGTTTTCCCATCGCGTTTACTCTTCGCAGTTGAACAAAAATAATGCATACGTCTGCCATTGGATGGCAGGTGAATTATTGTGGAGCATTCATGTAATAATTTCCTGGTACATTTTGTGTAATACTGAAATAAAGCTGTTAATGTCTTTGGCTCTGGTGGATTTACATTGTTTTGATTTTTTAAATTGCAGACTGATACGGGGTGCCAGCGTGGGAGATGCCGTAGCGATAGCATAGATAGCCGTTTTGTAGATACTGTGTCCCGCAGAGGCTTTCAGTATGGCGGCTCGCCTCAGCAAAGGAAGTTCTGTCAGCGACGAAGAGTTCTACGACAGCGTTGACGTCATTCCGGACCCGCCCGGACCGAGAGACGCCCTCGACGATCTGGATAACGCGGTGTTCCTGGAAGGGGAAGGAGCGAGCGCAGAGGAGACCGAAGAGGTCGTGGACTGCGCCATGCACCCCGAGGCCGACGCCAGCAGGATCGCCGAAGGGAGCGACGGATTGCAAGCTGGCAAGGCGGCCGAGCAACCAGAGAACGCAAATCTGGTGCTAGAAACGAAGAACAATAAGAAGAATAAGAATAAAAGAGAAAACAAGAAAAGGAAGAACGCCCAGGCAGGAGCGAATAATTTAAACAACAATGCGGAAGAAAACTCGGACGCTTCCGAAACCTCAGCTTCGGCCTCAGCTTCGGCCTCAGCTGCGGGACCAGCTTCACATCCTCCAACGAAGAAAATGACGAAGAAAAACTCGATGCTGAAGTGGTCGGCGGCGGCGCGCGAGGTCATAAACACCGGGATGTCACAGGACGACACGGACCGCGCCAGGAGGTCGTCGAGCGGGTCGAGCACTTCGAGTGTGGATAGGAAGATATCCGGCTCAGCCATCCTCGAGGACATTGCGCAGGTAAGGAAAAGACGTCCGGTGCCTGGGTGTCTATTTCCGTTTACTGGAACAGGAATAAGATACCGGACATTTGGAATTTATTTGGAAATGAACCTTGTGTGTAAATGACTTCCCTTGTATCACAACAACCATAACCAGTTCTTAGTCATGGCAGAACGGAATACTTTATCTGTAATCAAATTTATTCCTCACTCTTAGTCTCACTGTGGCCATTATTCGAGTTCACGAACCCTATGACATACCGACTAAGCGCTTCTCCTTCAACCAGGGTAACTTAGCAAGCTGGGACGCGGAAACTTGCGTGACACTTCTGCGCATGCCCACCGTGTCCAATTACTCCGGCCTCAAGAAGCTCATGGAAGTGGTAAGTGATGGTAGTATGAATGGCAATAGAAAGGATCATGAGGCACATAATTGATAGTCTAGTCGTAATGGTTAATGTGTATGTGAGAGAGAGAGAGAGAGAGAGAAATGAAAGCACGGAATTGGCCTGTGTACGGCTCCATTCTTCGGTAGTATGTCTAGTGGAACCTCACCCTTAGTCTCATCCTTATCCGGCCAGGTGGGCGAGGACTGGCTGGAGGATTTCCTCAACCTGGACGGCCTCGGGGTCCTGTTCGAGTCCTTGGAGAGACTTAGCGACCGCGGGTTCAGCTCCATCACCGACGCCATCCTCCAGCTGGAGTGCGTGCTGTGCGTCAAGACTGTGATGAACTCCACCTCGGGCCTCGAGTACATCATCAACAACGACGACTACACCAGGAAGCTCGCCAAGTGTGAGTGCAAATAACGTTTCGTGGCGCCATGCGAATACTCCTAGTAAAGTATTGAGCATTCGTTTATGCAGAATTGCATAGCCTCTTTCGCCTCGACCACTTCCTTTAATTGAATTTTCCTTTCTGGCTGTGCCCGAGCAGCGCTGGATTCAAGAAATATGCTAGTCAAGAAACAGGTGTTCGAACTGCTCTCCGCTCTCTCCGTCTATAGTGAGAAAGGCCACGCACTCGCACTCGACGCCCTAAACAACTATAAGGTGAGTGTTTTACTCTTTAAAACATCAGCGATAAGATCCCTTGTACTTAGTGGATATGAGTAACGGTTTATTCCAAATCAATACTCTCACGTGTTACTTTTTTCCAACGATTCATGATTTCACTTCCTCTTCAGGTGTTCAAGAACCAGCGCTACAGATTCCGGCTGGTGGTGGAGGAGCTGGCTAGTGCCAAGGTGATGGACTACCAGGCGACGCTCC